GAGTTTACTAAATGAATTAATGGAGCAAGCAAACTAGAGGAAGATATTTGAAATTATTTAACAGACTAAATTTAGTTACTTGAAACAATAGCTTTGATTGATATGCAAATTGGACAAAAAAGTATAACTGGGCCCCATTAGGCCTTTAAAACTAATATATAAACTTAGAAGCCCAGTGCATGAAATTCATGCACTGGTAGAGTCCCTAAGCCTGGCTGGTGATCAGGGTCGATCTATGGGATGACCAATGGGGCAATTGGGGGGCCCCACTGGTACCCGCCTTGGCCAGCTTGGCACCCCCCACTAGCCAGCCCCGCCCCCCAAGGGTGATCCAGGGGTGGCACCAGCCCACTCACCGGCAAGCCCTGCCACCAGTCACCTCCCTTGGTGGGGTGACCAGCAGGACAATCAGGGGGCCCCTGCTGGCACCCCCCTTGACTGGCCTGGGGCCTGTGGGCTAGGGACAGCTCCCGCGTTTAGCATCTGCCCCCTGGTGGTCAGTGTGCGTCATAGTGACCAGTTGTTCTTCAGTTTGGTCGATTTGCATATTAAGCTTTTATTACATAGAAATACATATTTGTGAAAAATTCAAATGCACCGAAATCTATGGAATAAAAAGTTATGATCTCCCTTCACATTACCCTCCCAAAGGTTACCAGTGTTAATATGTAAAGGGCTTGTATTGTATATAAATGGGATTATACTAAAATATGTAGTACCTATTTTTAAGGATAGGTCAAATTTATGAATGTTTATTTCAAAAAATTGAATAAAATAAGCCAAAAGCTATTTTTTACTGATTCTGTATTCTGTCCTAAAGAATATACAATATATAGAGCACAGTTCTACCTACTGCTTATGAAAATACGTATTACATTTTTCATGCAGATGAAAATTTAAAAACATAGCTGTTCCTTAAAATTTTGTGGCAATAGAAAAGGGCTTACAGTTGCTAACAAAAAAAATTTTCTATAAAATCAATATTACCAACTCAGAAACACCGTCAATGCAGAAGTTAGCTATTAAAAAGAGACTGTTGAATATGTCCTGATTGGAAGAAATCTCTAGGCAAAAAAGCATGGTGCAACAGTGTTTATATAATACACCATTCTCATGAAAATATACAAAATATTAAAGTACACAGAAGGATACTCAAGAAGCTTAATGCTTTGGGGAAGAATAACTTGACTAAAGAATAGAAGATGACATACCTCTTACCTTCTGAATTTTATATTTTGTACATATCAACTGTTTAGAAATAATTTTAATAATTCAGTGTATAGTTTGGTACCTAGTATGTAGTATGCCTACAGTATTAAAGGAATGGATCTATTTATCACAGAGAGTAGTAAGAAAGGATAACTACTCAGTTCTATAATTTCGTTCATGTTCATTAACATTTAGACACGTGTATGTCAGACTTAACCCAGTGCCTGGTGTAATATGAGCACTCAGTGGTTCAGGCGAGAAATAGTTATGTTGGAGAGTCAGAAAGGGCTACGTGAAGGAGGTAGCTACCAAAAAAAAATAGTACCTATAATGATAAATGGTAAAATAATCCAGGGAAAGCAGAACATACCAGGTCAGAGGCAGAGATCAGCATGAGCATTGAAGAGATTAGTGAAAGGATGGACACAGGCAGACTGTAGTGGACTCTCCATGCTTTCAAGATTCAAGTTAGAGGTTTTTACATGCTCAAAGTAGGGACTGAAGAGACAAAGCAAAACCAGTTAGAGAAGCAGCTAGAATTACCAAGATAGCAGTGGTTCAGGAGCTTATAATTTTTTTATTCCATTGTCTTTTAATCTTCTCAAACACTTAATACTTGCATTACTCTGCAATTAGTCTATGTCTTACTCTTGGATTGTTTCCTTTTGGTTTGTGAGCTGATGTTCAGTGAGGCTTTGTCTTTCCTTCCCAGCTTCATACTACAAGCACCTCCTTCCTTACCAACTTGATAGGGTAGGCAGTGTGCCCAGCCTCAGATGGTGATTCATAATTGGGCTAAGACACTCATAACAATCATCTTCTGCATTTTCCTAGTCTCACAGCTAGGCATAGCCATGCTGACCCACCTAGCCATGAAATTGAAAGTAAAGTAGCAAGCAGTCTCTTGCCGGGGAGGGAAAGTGTTTCTGGAGGCCCTCTTGATTTTCCAATAAAAGGTATCTGGTACTTACCCTTGTGGATGTGTTGCGCCCATAAAGTGGCACAAGAAATGCCAAAAGTGCTAGTCTGAGGTGTGACCAGCAGCTACAGATTATCTTATGAAAGGGGAATAAATCCCTATTTGTTTAAGCTACTATAAGTCAAAATGGTTTTGTTAAAATAACCTTGGCTCCTTGACTGAGGTCTGCCCAAAGGCTTTCAGTTTGCTTCTACCAGGTGACCCAAATGTATTTCCAGCTTGGAACCACTTTTAATCTTAGCTTGTAGATACCTGGACCTCAAACCTAAACAAATGTGAAAACATTTAGTGTTTTGTTTTCTATTTTTCCCTTTAAGAATCTGGAACCCAGGCCAGGAAAGGCTTGTTTATAGGAAATTTATGTTATTACCATCAGTGCCCATTTTACTGGGGTGCTCCTGGCTTTAATGTAAATTTGTTTCAGTTCCCAGCCTTGCCTGTGCCGTAGTCTGTCTCACCTATCCACACAGCTCTCTGCTAATGCGGTTACGTCATGTCCATTCAATAATCCCTTCCCAGAGAGCATGGCTTCATGCCTATGCCTCTAGTCTCCACTTCTGGCCCCTCCCTGATTTGTAAACATACCTTATAAAATTATAGAGGACTTAACATGCTTTTACTAACTCCTAATTTAGAAAACAACTTACAGAAAGCATGCAACAAGTTACACAGTAACATGTATCGTAGGTAGTATATAGCATTACTTTTGTTTTTTCCACCTGGAGATCAGTAAAAAAAAAATAATTAGCTTATGCAGTTAGAAAAAAAAAAATAGCTTACACAAATTTTGTATGGGAATCAACTTGCCAGTTTAGTTTCATTAGACTATTGAAAGGCATAGGAGGCTTTAAGAACACCACTCTTCGTTTTTTATATTTACATCTTTAATCTTTACAAGATTTTTCTGTAAATGTGAAAAATAAATTTAATCATAAGACTGGTATGTATTTTTAAATGGCTGACTTTGAGTTCTAATGAATTCCTAGATCAATAAGTATCTAGTATGACATTTTTTTTAATATATTTTATTGATTTTTTACAGAGAGGAAGAGAGATAGTTAGAAACATCGATGAGAGAGAAACATCGATCAGCTGCCTCCTGCACATCTCCCACTGGGGATGTGCCCGCAACCCAGGTACATGCCCTTGCCCGGAATCGACCCCGGGACCCTTCAGTCCGCAGGCCGACGCTCTATCCACTAAGCCAAACCGGTTTCGGCATCTAGTATGACATTTTTATCAGTGGCTGTAGCTTCACTATTCTCCGGAGTGCAAGACTCAACTTTTGAAAGAGTTTAACCGTTTGGCTGCTGACGTATTTTTTCGGACATATGCCAAAACTGATCTCAGTAAAAAATCAATAAAATATATATTAAAAAAATAAAAAATACCAATTGTTTACATAAATTTGTTTTAAATAAGAAGAGCGCAATAGCGCTCCTTAGCAGTAAAACGGTTAAGTTAGTGTCTCTGAGGAGAAGTTGTGTTTACTTCTTTTGTAGTTTAAATATTCTCATACTATTTATTTCCTATACATGTACCTAAAGTTGAATGAAAATAAAATATTCAAAGTGAAAAAGCAGGCCCTTCCAATTATAGAAAACTTCTGGAGAAACCCTGGATAGGGCACGCTTCTTGTGGACAAGTGGTCACTTGGTCTTACCTTACTGTTCCATTTCAAGTGACCAGTTCTGCAAGGGTCCCAACCAACACCAACCCCCCTCCAGCTTTCCTCCCCATGCTCTGGCTTCTCTACTGACTTACTGGCAAAAGAAAGTGGCACTCACACAGACAAATGCTTCCTCCCCCTTTTCCTTTCTTTCTCCCTCTGATCCTTCAAGGTTCTGTGATACTTCACTCACCATCTCAAGCAATCCCTAAAAACTGGCCTCTTTGACTAACCAACTTACCTACCCTATCACTTTCTATTAAACACCTGTAATGAAGCCTTTGCTTCAGGCTCTGCATTCTGGAGAAGCCATTCTAAAACAAAGTACCTATTAGTAAGTAGGTTAATCAAGTACTGACTATCACTAGCCATACACTTAGGTGACTTAATTTAATGAAAAAACACCCTTAAGAAAGGGTTTGCTTTTATTTTTCAAAAAACAAAAACCAAGTTTTCCAATGAGTTGCCTTATCTTTCTTCAGAACACAATATTGATTAGTAACTTTAAAAAATAAAAGGGCCATTTAATCTAGAAATTACTCTTAGATAGTATACATTCCCATCATGATTGCTGAAAAAATGGCAGAGAGCACTAGCTTTAAAACCTCTCACAATCCAAATCCTACCACTTAGTTGCATGACTTTAATTAAATTAAATTACTTGGCCTGTCTCAGTTTATTACATATATATATAAAGTAGGGAAAAGAACAGTACCTACCCATAGTTTATAAATTGCACGTGGTTTTTAGTCGCACACACTAGAATTCTGACTCAATAAAAACCATCACTCATTTTCACAAGTTCACTAAGCTCCTCTTAAGATTTATATGCTATATACTGGGTTAACCCTGGAACCAAAGAATCACAAGCAAAATCAACAGACAAAATTTAATATATGCACACAGTTTCATATATAATGCAGCATCACACCATGTAGGGCATTTACTCTGATACATTCAGATATCTTTGAAACACTTCTTAAGGCTACAAAACAGAACATAGAAAAATAAACAGGAATATATGCAACACTTACAAAAAGTGATATGATAAAGAATATAAAGTACTATTTTCCTTTCAACACTTCAAAAGATATTTATATATAGTTTTTTTTACAAGTAACATCACAAATGATCACATCTTCACATGCTTTTAAAGTATTATTTATACTCAGTATAAGGCTATTATTTTTCATACTTAAATTTTTTTCTATCTCTGTAACAATGCAATTTTAATCCATTCAAGTAAATTCAACACCAAAGTTGCTGTTCCCCAGCATTAAGACATGCAATCTCCCCTTTTCTAGGATTTTCTAAAACTTATTTGGGGGTGTTGGGGGATCCCAATTAGTAGGAAAGTAAATGGCTGACACTAGTAGTAAAACCTTAGTTCTTTGAGACTGACATGCTGGAACTGAGCCATTATTAAGGTTTTAAACAAGAAGCAAAATATAGTAAACAGAAATAGTGTAGCCAAATATGCATTCTCTTCAGCTACACCAAAATGGACCTTGCTTAGTACCCACAAGTGAAAGACTACAATTCCCTCATCTAAAACTGAAGGTAAAATAAATGAGACATAAATAAATATTGCTAGTTTCTAAGATGGCTGAATGTTTTCTAAACCAGAAACGGTTAGAAAGGAACTTTATTGCACCAAGTCAATCATAAGCAAGTTTGCAGTTCACAGGCATTTTAATTCAATCTTCAGTCACAAAGGAAACATAATGCAAAATATACAGTTTGCATCAACTAAGCACTGTGATTTGGGAAAACCTACTCCTGCCAAATCCAGGCAGGGTCTGAGCTCAAGTCAGCATGAAAATGAATATATGGGTTACCAGGAAACAGGATGAGAATTACACAGATGCTAGCATCCTGCTGCCAAGGAGTACATGGAACAACAGGAAGATTTTATCTGAGAAGAACTTGAAGAAAACTATACCCAATACTAAAAGGGAAAAAATCAAGTTTAGCAAAAGCCAAAAGAAGTGACCTTTGGTCATTCTAAACATTTGTTCTTTAAAATGTATATGATCCTAATACAATGAAGTTCCATAATTTCCAAGTCAAAATACAAATGATTCTCACTTCTAAGCATTAGTTCCACTCATATGGAAACACTGTACGATAAACATTGTATCACATGTCAACATATCATATGACTCAGTCAGAATGAAGGACAAAAGCTTGCTTGGTTTGATCTTAGCATAAGGCAAATCCCCTGAATACATTTAAAACAAATCTAAAAAAAACAAAACTGACCTTCATGCAAAGACTCATAATTTTAAAACTAATTATCAAAATTCAGAGTTCTTTTATTCCAGAGGTCACTGAGTAAAGTACCATCTGTAAAGTTCTCTTTCAGCACTGTTTCCATCATATCCTGGAGGTAAATATGGGAAACAGCAAGCAAATCAGTGTTTCTTTCAGGAACTATAGAGTATGTTGTTACTCAACTGAGGTAAGACAGTGAAGAAATGAACAGTATTCTTTCCTACCCAATTTTCAACATCTCCAGAAGAAACTGAGAAGATCAAATCCCAGTCAATAAAAGACACTGGAAACACCAATTTCTTTTGGTCTCCTGAGTTTAAATTTACATCGAACTTTTAAATCTGGCCATAATATCTAAAGGTGATTTTCATAAAAACTATCAGATAAACTAATCTTACATTAAAAAATATGAGCTGAGAATAAAGGACCAGCTAATCTCATTCCATAACAACTGATGTTAACTAAGAAAGAAATGGCTTAAGCAGTACCTTCCCCAATTGTTAGAGCTTAGAAGGTGACAACAGAAATTCCTTTCCGCAGGTTCTCTCAGTATTTCCACACAACCATCTCAGTCTTTAAAGTTTTTACTTAGCACCATCGTAAAATATCTTTCAAAGTGCTCTCTAAAATCCTGTTACAAAACATCTAAATGATAATCACTACTCGAATCAGCAGTTATACAGACATTAGGTAATTAAAACAGAGGTAAAATAACCATTATTACAGTACAGTGGAGATTCACTGAGCCTAGCTGGCATCCCAAACAATTCTGTTAAGTTATCAGAGAACCCAGAAAACTCGTCTGTTTCAGTTTGTCAAATTCAAGTGAATTGTATTTGCTTTTTTTAAAAAAAAATCAATTTTTGGCTAGGTATATTATACATGGCATGCAAAGAGAAATTACTACTTTATTTGCATAGCGCTCAAACTTCCTGATCAAAAGAGAACATAAAAAAGGGTAGATTTTCACATTAGTACATACAAATGAGAAATAAAAGCTATAGTTATACAGTATAACACAGATTAATAAATACTGTGTTAATTCAAAGTCAAATCTCCAAATGAGGACAGAGTGCAACATGCAAAGGGAACTACTACTGAAATACTGTGAAGACGAAGACGGGAAGGAAGCAGGATTGACAGGTTATCCAAGAGGTAACAAGCTATAAAATGCAAAGCAAAACCACTTTCTAGCAGCATCCTCTAGAAAAGAACTAGAAGTCACAATCATCCTTTTCTGTACAATAGTTCCAGCTGTGACAAATTGAACATGCAAATGTAAAGTGATGGACACAGCCAATGGTGCAAAGTGAAAAAACAAAACACAGAACTCTACAGAAACCTGTCAAGCTAAAAATTTTTAACATTTCGTCTCTCAAAATATTTAAATCTGTCAGTGCATTAGTGTTAAAGTGGCATTAAAAAAATTCTGCAGTTTTAACAGATGCAGATTATTTTCAAAATGCATAGCATCTACATTTCTTTCGAGTAGGCACCATATTTACACCAGTGCTAAGAATTCTTGGTGGAAACAGCCATTTCATTGTATTTCCTATTATTTCTTAAACATATGTTCTTGTATGCGATCTCAAGTTCAACAAATACCAAAATTCAAAAATATACCCTATTAATATTAAAAGAACTATATACAACATTTCTAAGACACAGGTTAATAGGCTGCTTATGTGTAATATTAAAAAGAAGACATTATTCAAGTTTGACAGATATTGAGATGAAAGGCCTTTGGGTTGGAAGCATTTCAAAAGACAACAGTGTTTTAGCCTAAGAACTGTTTGAGCCCAGTTTATGACTAAGGCATTGCATAATAAAATATACATTTCTATTTGGTGCAATGTTATGTTTTGGAATCTATCATGTGTCAAATGGTGTATTTTCTTGTCACTTTAGTAAACACTATACAGCACACATTTCCAACATTTGAAATTAAACTTATTTTAAGGAAAAAAAACAAACACTAAATCTATAATGTTTTATATTAAGCTGTTTATAAAAAATACTTTAACAAACTTATTTTCTACTTATGGGGGCAGTCACCCCATAAATAAACAGATTTTGAACAAAGAGAAATGGCAACGCCAGGAATTCACCTGCCCCCTTGAACACGTATCCAAATCTCTTGTCCAGGATAGAAGTGAGGGTAAAGGGGGAGGGGAGGAGATAGTTCCAATTTGGGTTTTTATTTTAATGTATTTTTTTAAAGCCTTTAGAAACATTCCACCTAAGAAGAGTTTCTGCTCTAATACACTGCAACAACAGCCATCAAGTGTGCTGTCCCCGATGGCCATCTCCCATCCCTGACCTCCTCCTATCCCCCCTATAGGGCCGTCCTCTGCCATTTCGATGGTACTGATAACCTTCATCTCGGCTTCTGCTTGGCTGCCCTTTCCACGATTCCTCACCTCTTGTATGTTGATATCCTCCCCTACCAGAATAGCCCCAATCGCTTTTGTACTTCCTGCCTCCATACGTCTGATTATAGAACTGCTTTGATCTACCACTTCGCAGAATATTAGACACTTCATTCTCATCTTCTGAACTCTCTTCTTTTGGTCTCTGTAGTCTGCTATCCACAGAGTTGGCCCCACTGACCACATCAGCAGCATTCTTAGGATCTTTCACTTTTTCTGTTTTTTCTTTCAGACTTGGAATGGTCCTTTTAGGCTCAGGTTCAACAGGCACAGTTTCTCTCTCTCTGTCTAGATTCTGAGTGGGAAGATGAGCCTTTCCCTCCGCTACTGGAGGGATGGAAACCAATGCCAGATCTGCCTTAGGTGTCTGGGACGACTGCTCTGCCCGGCCTTCATGCTCACTCACATCTGCTTCAGGGAGAGCATGTTGTGTGTCTTCACATCTGGCCTCCTGAAACTCACCTGTTGAAGGTGAACCACCTTGTTTAGACAGATCCAGATTTTCCAGGGGTAGATCCAATTCTCCTTTCTCATCAGAAGGCAGAACAATATTCTGCCTCATTACTGGACTTTCTATGAATCCCTGAAAAGGGTACCCATACCAAACAGGAGGAAAGAAAGGAGGTGCAATGGGAACTGGGCCTAAGAATGGATTCGGTCCAAAGGACGGTTGTGGGAACATATTCTTGCCACTTAGTGACTCTTCATATTCAGCATGAAGAAGATGCCCAGAGTTTTCAGATTCAAGATCAGCCTGGTAAGACAATTGTCCATGACTTTCAGACACCTGAGATGGAGGGATAACCAGAGGTGAAGAAAATGGTGGTGGTCCAATCTCTGCTTGTGGCATCTGACCGTTAACACTGGGCTCAGTCTGCATAGGAAAGTGTGCATCGGCACAAGTGCAATCACTTTCATTCTGAGCAGGAGCTTCTTGGAACCAAGGGTTTTGAGGGTACACAGGGACAGGGACCTTTGGGTACATCCTGCAGGCTGCCAGGTAAGCCTGGTGCAGAGGATACAGGTAAGAATGTGGGGCCCACATCGGACAACTATATGCCTAAAAGAAACAAACAAACAAACAAAGTTAAGAAGAAAAACAAAAGGAGGTTGAAAGAAAGTTTAAAGTGGGCTCAAGGTAAGTTTTTTAGGTCTACAAAGAGCATATAATCTGCAGTCCAAGAACTACATCACTGTGAGACTCAACATGGAAAGGAAGTACAAAATCAAGACTGCTCTAAAGCTCCATTCCTTGTCCTATCCTGAAACCAATCCCAAGTCCTGTATAGATGTTGACAAATGACAATAAATGAACCTACCCAAGATTATCATGACCATTAATTTCATTCTTTGGATATAACTGTACGAAAATAATTATGGGTGATACGGATCTCAAAAGCCTCCAACAACAAGCACTTGAGCCTCCAGCTTCAAGTATCTCAATCACTGGCTGTTTAGCTCATCTTGCATTTGTATTTTGGCTCTATCGCTAGCTCACTGTGTGTGACCCCATGCCAACTAAATAACTGGTCTGGACCTGCTCTACCAGAAAAATCTAGTATAGGAGTAGATGACCCCACAAGGTTAGCACTCCAAAGTTCTAGGAGACCCCAGAGCACTCCGCAAAGATAAAAGTGAGACTCCTAATCAGAGAAGGGTAATACTGAAAATGAAGTATGTCAAATCCTTTGCCTACAAAGTATCAACAAAAGACCAACACGCACGCACGCGCACAGACACAATTTACCACCTAAGTGGCTACCTTTAGCCAGAGCCAAAATTAACTAGATAAATATAAATTTAGGCAAAGAAATGCAGTAGATGGTGAAATTAACCAAGTCTCCTTTCATGAACTGGTCAGTAGGCTACAGTAGGGCACTTCATTTCATATTTTAACAGTCTAGGACCCACAGAAATCAATCCGAGACGAGACAACACAGCACTGACAAGGACAAAGAGTTCCCCAGCCTCTCTAAGACAAACTATTGTTTGACTGACCACTTCCTAAAGGAGACCTCCACTCCACTAGTGAACACCCCACCTTCTATAGGGGTACTTTTACATGGTATTTCCTTGAACCTTTAAACAATGAGGCAAGTCGAAGAATGCTACCCTCGTTCCATAAATTCAAAAAGCTAGGCTCAGATACACTGACTTGTCCAGAGCTATCCAGCTAAACAGTGATGGAGCAGAACTTCAAACCCAGATGGCTCACTTAATCCCTCAGTGAGGGTATTTCCACACGGCCACCCAGGGACAGAGGCATCTCCTAAACATACTCACAGGGTTAATTCACTGCCCATTAAAAGGAAAACCAACCAAAAATTGGAGCCCCAATCACCACCAAAAAGAAACATGCTGCACAATTCTGAAAATGCTAGTACTGAAGATAATGAGGTTTAGTAAATCTTAGCGTATTTACTCTTAGGATAATTAATTAATTAGAATTTAAATCTGTTTACTTGAAAATAATTTTAAAATGATAAAATGTAAATACCTTTACACCAAGATTAAAGAAGAATCGAAGAATGTTCTTATCTAAAAATAAATAACAATCATCACTCAATATAATTATACATTCAAAAGCTTTTTTTCATTATTCTCAAACAATATATAGTTCTAAAGACATTTTTACCTACTAGAATTGTTTTCTCTAGCCTGTGCTATAAAACATGGGAAAAAAACTAATATAACCAAAATTAGGCTCTGTTTCTATAGGGTAATTCCAGGTTCAATATACTTTGTCTATGCTACTTACAAATAAGTTCCAAAATACCTTAAATTGAGATTTGTATCTGATTTAAATTAACTCTTTGTGAAGGAACTCAGGTGTTCACTGTATTTCCCTTTCAACTTCTCCTTGGGATTTAAAATATTATGAAATAAAAATGTTGGGGGTTAAAGGTAAAGCCAACATAAACCTAACTCATTACTACATAAGATTAATAGGATAATATCAGCTAAGGTATTCATTTGACATTGCCCAAGTTTACTCACAGACTCAAACATCAAGCCACTGAATAATAAAACAAAAGTATCCACAAAAATCCAGATAGGGAGCATATAGACAGTCATTGCATTACCTTTTCTAGACTTAGGAAATTTTGCACCTTTAAAGAAAAGGGGACAGGCAAATTTAAAAAGAATTCTTTAAAAAATATATATATATATTGTTGCATATAGTACTGTAATGACAGCTATTATTTATTATATTCGTTCCCTATAATTTTTTCATGGAGTAATTAGTGATGGAAAAAGGCAGTAAATGTTTAGTTATTTGGTTATTAATTCAAAATGGTTTTAAACAGTTTTTTAAAAAATGACGGGGCAGGGGGGAGGTGTGGAAATCAGGGTGCAGCTACCAAATAAAAAAACATAATCCAATCAAACACAAGCTGAAGCAGAGAGTGAGTGACTAATAGCCAAACCTCTGCTATCCTTTCCCAAGTAGAGACTAACATGACAACATGACCTCTGACCTCTACTTATCTCTCTCACTGAACATGTATCAGTACATGACAAATAAAATCAGTTTTAACTTGGAGAAGCAGCTCACCTTTAGGCAGGTCCTCCCCAGTGTGACACAGTGAATAAGGTGGTGCAATGGCTCTGTCTCCCTTTTCATTACAAGGAAACCCAGGGTAGAGTGGGTCTTGGTAAAGGCTCAGTGTCTGAGGCAAAGGCATCAAGGGCTGGTTAACTGCCTGTATTGACACAGGAACTGGAGAGGGTGTTAAATGAGCTTGGGACACAGCAGAATCAGGTCCAGTGGTCAGGGTCTGTGTCACTGATAAAACAGGGATTTGAGCAGGGACACCTACAAAAGAAAAGAAGTAAAAAACTATAAAAAGATGAAAATAATTTTCTACAAATATGTTTACATTAAGCTAAAAAGTAAAGAATGCTATATTAACCAGGGACCCTCCTGACATACAGGAGAAAATGAACCCAGGAAACAAGCTCTGCATCAGTGTGGTCTCAGTGTAGCTCTTACAAACATATGTGCACAGAGCCTGGCAAAGGGTTCAATGAGGGTCATTAGAACTGGTCCATGGGGAATGAAACTTTGGTGTCAGTGCTGAGCAACCAAAGCAACCAGTGGAGATAACCAGCTCACACATCTTCCTCCTGGGATGTTGAGGGCATATCTCAAATGAATTCCACATTGGAAGCAGAGAAGAGCAGAGGATTGCAAAAAGTGGCTCCATATATCTAACCTTACTCTGAGGTCAAGCTCTCACTCGAGCATTTGAAGTCTCTAACTTGGAAAGCTTATGTTGGATGGGTCATTGGATATTTAAAACTAGTAACTAACCTGTTGGTCCAAAAGATGTAGGCTCACTTGGCCAGGCTGGCACAGTGGCTGGTAAAGAAGGCACCGCAGGAGCTAGATGTACCTCTGGAGAAACCAGAAGGGGAGCTGGATTTGACAAAGACACATGTTCTGCTGGCTTCTTCAAAGAGAGAGGGTGGAAAGAGATATCGAGTTCATTTTAATCACCAAATGTACTCTGAGTTGCCTACCTTTCTACTGCACCTTCTATATAAATGGTTTTTCTGGTTTTATAAATGAAAGAAAAAAAGCACAGTGGCTAAAAATCCCACACAAACAAATTTGATCCTAACCAGGGATTGCCTGCCGAAGGTCAGGCAGACTTTGAAGCATTGAACACAATGCTTTTAAGGCAAGGAAGCAAAACCATTGAAATTACTTTGAAATTCATGAATTACTAATAGTTCTTCACACGAAGACATGCCACAAAACTGAATATGCTTTCTAACTGACATAAGGATGTTAACTGAAAGGCAAAAACTACAACCTTTCTCTACGCCTGTATTAGACCAAGAATCAAAATGCCTCATGTTTCTTCATTATTAAATTCAAAAGTTGGTGATATGGCTCTTTAAACATTTTTTTTTCTAATCTCTTTAGTACAGTCTAACCATTACATTCCCTACCATCTATAAAATAACTGTTAAGAATGCAGACAACTGAAAAGTTTTTAAAGTAGAAATTTCCAAAAATCAAATTTTCAAGCCAACCCACCAAATATAAACTTATTCAAAATCAATTCAGAAGAATGACTTCTATGTCCAAAAAATAGTATATCTAAAAATAATACCCTAAAAAACTGGGAACATTCTAAACAACAGCATTATAAAAAAATCACAGATATCCAAATTATTATGTTAAAATATATCCTCCCATTTTCTATATAGATGTTTTCTGTTTTTAAATGTTATCAAATACAGAGCTAAGAGAAGGGAGCCTTCTATGTCAGATGCAACAATGTACTTACTTGTTCTGCAGGAGGTGGGCACTCTAATTTCTTTGACTTCGATGGTGATGAAATTCTTGCACACTTATCATCACTAATATTCTTTAGAAGCAAAAAAAACATAATTTTGTATTTCAAACACCCACATTCTAGGATCATAGTGGTTGCCTTTATTGTTCACTCTACCTGCACCTGATTGAACCCTCTCGACTATCTCTTTTTCAACTACATCTGGTCTTCATCAGCTAGTAATACTACCTGCACATCTTTATATCAAACTACTGGGACATTTTTATTGGGGGACGTAGTTTCAAAGAGCACACTTTTCCTTTAAAAACCTCAACCTACTGCCCTGGCCAGGTGGCTCAGTTGGTTAGAGTGTCGTCCCATGCACCAAAAAGGTTACAGGTTCAATTACTGGTCGGGCACTTACAGGTGGCAGCCAATCAATGTTTCTCTCACACACACATCAGTGTTTTTCTCCTTTCCTCTCTCTAAAAATCAATGAACATATCCTCAGGTGGAGATTTTTTTTAAATCTCATTCTACTATAGATTATTGGAAAAGCTACTTCCCACCAATTCAGAAAGGTCATCATAATGTACCCTACAAGAAATGGTTACAATTTGTGAGTGAATCCTCCTCAAGCACTACTATCTTTTCCCCAGTTTTTCTCTACTTTTCTACTTCCCTAACAGTTATCAAATGAAGTCATCATCTCCTACTGCTTCTTCCTGATATATCATTATCACAGTGTTACAAGGAAAATGAAAAGATGCAATTAGTATTTAAAACATTTACCTCTGATGTGCTTGGCCCAGGTTTTTTATCCAGGTGAGTATGTCCATGGCTAGAGTCTGTAACAGATCAAGATTAAAAAAAAAAAAAAAAAAAGACAGCATCAGCCACTTTGAAGACAGAAAAACAAAATATAAAAATAAAGAAAGCCAAAAGTACTATTTGCATCATGTTTAGTCGGTGAAAATACAGTTTTCAGAATGATATTTATTTAAAGGAGCGTTAGCCTGAGTCAGCAACAGTGAGATATATGACATTAAACTGCTCAATGATTTTAAAACGGTTCTTTTTCCAATGGATGACTTTAAACCAGACACGGAACTCCAGTACATGCTTTCAAATGATGAAGTAACACACCTTTATCTTTTCGTTCTTCGGTATCCATTCTCCGCCTGCTTCCTTTTCTATCACTCGCATATGATGATTTTCTCTGGACACATGGATTGCTACTCTGAGAAGATGACTGACTGACTGATGAGCTCTTCAAATAAACAAAACCCAACACTTTGTGTTAAAGATTTACCCATAAATACACTCTTTGTACATCTGATTAAAAATCTCAAAATTCATAGCCGTGTCTTTATACTTCCAAAAATAGGGCCTAAGATTCATATTTAATTATGTCCTCTATAGTTATAGGCTTATTAATAAGTCTAAGTATTAGGCAATCAGACAGACCTTTGGCCTAAATTATTTTAACACTTCTTTGTATCCTTATTTGGGAAAGCTGCTCTAACCAAACTTTCATCTTGTAATTTATACTTTCATTCTTTGCACAAATAGCAAGCACCCTTCAAACCTTCAAAAACAACTATTATAGAGCCACAGTCCTTTTGGGGGGAAAAGATACCCAAGTGCAAATTAACAGATACAGTGCACTGTGATTGTTATTCACTAAAATGCTACTGACCCTCAGCAAATCATATAAGCTCTGCATGAGATCTAACCTTGTAATTGGTGTAACAAAGGGACTGGAATAAGTCAGGTTTTCAAGCTAAATTATCATTGAAGATCCTCTCCTGTTCTGGTACTACGTAAATATTGCACAGAGCTGAGAAGAGGATCTTAGCCTTCTGTGACGGAAGTTTACTAGAACACAGGATTCCAACTGCCAACTAGTATGCCATCTAAAAATGATGAGCATGACTCCATTCTGACAATCAAAAATTTCACATTGTATTCCTACATTACAGTCGTCATATTCTTACCATTCACTAACTGAAAACGGACAAAAAGGTATGAATACAAGCTTAACTGATTTGTGCCTTTTTTTAAATCTAAATATTATGGGAAAATAACATGTTACATAAAGATAAATATAATTAACACACAACCCATGTCTAATTCACATATGGATGTGGGCACTTTTTCCAATAATTCCTAAGCTCCAAACCCTATGCCAGACTGAACTATTAGTCCAGAGGAGCTATTTTCAATCAAGCATCTCACATCTCTAAAAAGATTCCACAGAGGCCAGTGGACAGATAATTGAGTGTGAGGGACATTATTTAATGTTTTACATCGGTATACTGGGAAGCCTCCTGTAACATTTCATTTTGTTTAATCTACTGTTGAGAAAAGGTGTCCAACCAACATTCTGGATCACATGTCATTTAGTACCACTTTCCAGTACTTAAAAGACCATGGTTTCCAGTGTCCCAAACTGAATCACATTCCCCTATCCTGCCAATGAACCCTCTTCACAGACCACTGACTTCACTCTACATGAGAACTGTTTCCCCTTCTGACTCCACCAAAATAATTAAGAAACCTAAAGAGCCCGACCTGGTTTGGCTCAGTGGATAGAGCCTTGGCCTGCGGACTGTAGGGTCTCAGTTCAATACTGGTCAAGGACACATGCCCAGGTTGCGAGCTCGATCCCCATTAGGGGGCGTGCAGGAGGCAGCCGATTAATGATTCCCTTTCATCATTGATGTCTCTCTCCCTCTCCCTTCCCCTCTGAAATCAATAAAAATATATTTTTTTAAAAAAAGAAGAAACTTAAAGATAGAGACCATCTCTTTCATCAGAGAAGCATCCGTCACAGCCGTGTCAGACACAGAGCAAGGGCAGACACCAGATTCCATGTACTTCCATCTCCAACAGCAAACACTGAGCAGCTCTTACTATATATAATTTTAGGTGCTGGTGTGTTTAATAAGGAACACTGAAAAGACTTTCTGATTTTATGGATATAGCTTAACTGAATATAAATGTATCTTGTTACTTTGGCTAGCAACGTATTTTAATTCAAAATACTAACCTAGAAGTGAGCTAACCAATTTACTTGCCTCAGTTCTAACACCAACTAATATCTTCAGACTTCACATTCCTCATGAAAAGGAGGGACGATTACATTCAGTTTATTTTTTTGTTGTTGTTATTTAAATCCTCTCCCAAAGACATTTTCTTTGATTTTTAGAAGGGAAGGGAGTGTGGGGATGGGAGGAGAGAGAGAAAAACATCGATGTCTGAGAAACGTCGATCAGTTGTCTCCGGCACACACTCCAACCAGAGCCAGGGACCTAACCAGCAACCTAGGCATGTGCCCTGACAGGAATACTTCTTTTGATATACGGGATGATGCCTCTACCAACTGAGCCACACCGGCCAGGGCAAGGTACCCTTCAGTTTACAAATTATTAGTTTTATAGATTAATATAAAGTTACGGTTTAATATAAAAACTACAGTTGACCCTTAAACAACATGGGACTTAGGGGTGCCAACTTCTCCCAGGCAATCGAAAACCTGTGAATAACTTTAACTCCCCGAAAACTTATCTCCAGGTGCCCTCAGTATTACATAGGGAATTTGTACCAGGACTCCAAACAGACACCAAAATCCATGGATGCTTAAGTCCCTTATATAAAATGACCTAAAAGAATGCACACAGCTAGTCTTCCACATCCACAGATTCTGTGGTTGAATCTGCAGATGGGGAACCAGGGGAATTCAGAGGGCCAACTGTAGTTACTGAAAAAAAATCTGCATTGTTAAGTGGACCCACACAGTTCAAACACATGTTGTTCAAGAGTTAACTTCTATTCAGGAGAGATTTCACTGACTGCTGCTGGGGGCTCCTGGTACTCTGAGGGTGGGCCCTTCCCTCAGGCCACATGGGAAACAGCTGGGGAGGGTCAATACAAATATTTGACTAATTCTGCTACACAGTGGCCATAGACCTTTTGGCAACCTAATTAATGAATGTTTACCAAACGGAATCTCCTGTAGCATCATGCACACTACATTAACAGAATCAAGAGGATAAACTTACAATAGGGAGAGGTAGAAAAAAAAAGTGATACAGAAATAATTGAGGGGTTTTTTTTCCTTTCCATCAGAGCAGAAATTTAAGTACTGAATATATTTCTTTACCCCACAGTTTAATACTTTCATAAGAATTCACTTTCAAAAGAAAGGGAAAGTTATTAGTTTAGGTCTCAAAAGCATTCTACTTCTCAGTTCTAAGTAAAGGGCAACATCAAAGGAAACAAGAGGACCATCCTCTGCTTTTTGATACCACCAAGGGAGATGTAAAGCTAGAAAGAAGAAATATTAAAATGTGCCAGACTAGATACTAACTACATCTCAGTATAATTTTGGTCAAACAAGGATGAAAAAAAATTCATGAATACAACTTAGTGGCCTATAACACATTCCTATTGATTTTGTATGACTTGTAATTATAGGCAATATGAATACTATTTCCACTGTGTCTAACATTTTCACAACAGTGGGAAATGAAAAGTCAAAACCTAAAGGAAAAATACGTTGTCACAATCTGAACATATAATCTGAACAAAAGTGGGAAGTGCCGAAACCGGTTTGGCTCAGTGGATAGAGCGTCGGCCTGCGGACTGAAAGGTCCCGGGTTCAATTCCGATCAAGGGCATGTACCTGGGTTGCAGGCACATCCCCAGGAGATGTGCAGGAGGCAGCTAATCGATGATTCTCTCTCATCGATGTTTCTAACTCTACCTCTCTCCCTTCCTCTCTGTAAAAATCAATAAACTATATTAAAAAAATTTTTAAAAAAAGTGGGAAGTGATTTTTTTACATCTGACATAAGGAACAGCCACTTTGCCCTCAGATAGTCCCACTTAAAAATCACACCCTAATTCCAACAGGGCAAATGTAACCCCAACAGTACTGGGGGGGAAAGCAGGGGAGCAAAATGGACCCTCATAATCTTTGACCAGTCCTTCTCAAACCCCAGTCACAGAAGACTCCGAAGAGGACTCAGCAAATGCCAGCAGTCTGGAAAGCTAACACAACCTTATACCATGTCCATCCTGTCACCAAAACTGTCCATCTTATCCTCGCCCACTACAAAGAGAACCAAATTCCCTATTTGCACCTAACTGTAGGAAAAATATTCAGCAGTGATATTACTATCATTTTCAGCATTCACATAATGCAACCACCAACAGCAACCCTGCTTGGTTCTTATTACACTTTTATTTTTTTTCAAAGAAAGAGACAAATGAGAAAGAAATGAGGGGTCTCATGACTAACATTAAGATTCTGTTCTGTAAGTAGAATAATTCAAAACTAATGCATTGAACATTAGAAAGATAAACTCTAATGGGCTTAAATACAGGGGACTGTTAACTATAAAATTCTAGACTTAAATTTTTTTAAGTCTTACTTTAAATATTTGATCATCAGCAGTCTCTAAATTTCTTTTAATAATAAAATCTACTCCATACATACAGTGGAGAAGGCATACTAACTGCAAATACAAATAGGTTTCTATGTAATCAATCACAATGGCAAACATTCTCTAAAGCTTCATGTCTATGTATTATCTACTGCCTTCTGCCATCATGTTTCATATACCAAGTAATATACAGCTAACACACAAAGCAGAAACTGATCCTAAGGCTACAGAGACATTTCATATCTGTCTGATCATTCTACCAATGCCTAGGAGATAGGATTGATTCAATAGCAGAAACATACTGGATATAAATTGTTTGTGGTAAACAAAAGTATATTTCAAATTAGCCATTTAGTAGCCCATGTGTATTTTCTTTTTTAATCTTCAAGACACTGAAGAATATAGAGTTTCCTTGTATTCAAGGGGAAAAAATGCTTCTTCTCAAGTCTATTAAAAAAATAAAATTCATTTCTACCTATGACCTTCCTATGTTTACTTCACATTTTTAGGTTTCCAAAGTCTATATTCAAAATAAGTCAGATCTCCTAGGTACTTTGCCTGCCTTGAGTTAGATGCCACCAAATGCTAGTGGAGTCTGGTCAATATCCAAACAACAGACTTCATCCATAACTAGTTGATTAATGAGCACAAATTCTGTCTGTTGGGAGAGGTCAACCACCATGGGCCAGGATTGTCCCTGCACAGAGAGGACTACACGCAACAGCAGAAGCAGGAGAGATGCATGGAACAGATTCTCCCCTGGAGTCTTTGAGACAGCATGGCCCTAGTAACAACTTGAGTTGAGAATTCTAGCCTCCAGAATTTAGTCAATTTCTGTTGTTTTAGGCCACCCCATTTGTGGTACCTCGCTACAACAGCCCCAGGAAACTAACACAGTAATAGTAACATGTCAGCCTAAGAATCTACAATTGTCTTGAAGATGTTATGTTATATAAACGATCTTTAATGAAAAAATGTTAAGTATATCCCAAGAAAGAGAAGTGCCCAATGCCAAAAATAAAGGAACTAAAGACTAGAATTTGTCAAGCACATAAGCTGATGCTACAGCTGTTCAGATAATAGGGGAGAGAGAGGCACAGGTCACAGTCACCTAGAAGGGCTGCAGTGCCCAGAGACATGGCCACATTTGCATGAAAAGAACAGCCTCCACTTAAGACACACCCTCTCAAATAAAGCTCCTTTAAAGGGATATAAACTACTCCATGGAAGGGCAGATTAAGAAAAAAATAAAATCCATAATACAGGAAATTATGACCCTGAAGTTCACCTGTGTCTGGATATTCAGTCAGAATGCTAATAATCATGATTACATGAACCTCAACTTGTAGCTCCATTTGGTATTAGAAACATTAACCCAAACAATACAAAGTTATTAGAACAAAGTAAACCAACCATCTTAACTGATTTAAGTTCCTATATAAAGGAAAACATCCTCACCCTCCAAGAAATTAGAAATGCCATTTGGAGTTCAGTATTTAACTTATAACAAACTACCAGACAACTATTAAGTGCCAGAATAAGACCTGGCTAAGATCTCCCAAATCATTGGGGAAAAAATTATTCAAAAATAATGTCTAACTCTCCAAAAATTCATCTGGAATAAAAAAAAGACCCCGAATAGCCACAGCAATCCTGAGAAAGAAGAACAAAGTTGGAGGGATCACAATACCAGATATCAAGCTATATTACCAAGCAACGGTTCTCAAAACTGCCTGGTACTGGCACCAAAACAGACATATAGACCACTGGAACAGAACAAAGAACCCAGAAAACGACCCAAGCCATTATGCTCAATTGATATTTGACAAAGGAGGCAAGAGCATACAATGGAGTCAAGACAGTCTCTTCAATAAATGGTGCTGGGAAATTTGGTCAGATACATGCAAAAAAATGAAACTAGATCATCAACTTACACCATACACAAAAACAAACTCAAAATGGCTAACGGACTTAAATGTAAGACGGGAAACCATAAAAATCTTACAAGACTCCATAGGCAGCAAAATAGCAGACATATGTTGTAGTAGTATCTTTACAGACACAGCTCCTAGGACAATTAAATATATTAGCTTTACCCTCTTGATTGAAACATGCAAGATGAGTAACACAGAAAAAACAATCTAAATAAAAAATGAGCAACGGATCTGAATAGAAACTTCTTCAAAGAAGACATACAGATCGCCAATAGGCACATAAGATGTTTAACGTCACTAATCATCAGAGAGATGCAAATTAAAACCCCAAGAGCTATCGCCTCATACCTGTCAGAATGGCTATCATCAACAAATCAGCCCTGGACGGTTTGGCTGAGCGGATAGAGTAGGCCTGTGAACGGAAAGGTCCCAGGTTCAATTCGAGTCAAGGGCACATGCCCCAGTTGTGGGCTCGATCCCCAATAGGGGACTTGCAGGAGGCAGCCGATCCATGATTCTCTCTCATTGTGAATGTTTCTATCTCTCTCTCCCTCTTCCTTCCTCTCTGAAATCAATAAAAAAAATAAAAATTTTTTTAAAAAATCAACAAATGACAAGTGCTGGTGAGGATGTGAAGAAAAAGGAACCCTCCTGCACTGCTGGTGGGAATGCAGACTGGTGCACACAGTGGAATACTATGCTGCTATAAAAAAGAAGGAACTTTTACCATTTGCAACAGCATGGATGGAACTGGAGAGCATTATGCTAAGCAAAATAAGCCAGTCGGAGAAAGATAAGTATCACATCATCTCACTCATATGTGGAATATAATGATCAACATCATTTGATTAACAAGAAAAAAAGAGACAAATTGGGGGGGGGGTCAATTGGGGAAAAGGGAGATACATGTAAAACTTTAATAAATAAATAAATAAATAAGACTTACTCTGCAAAGTTAGTTTATTTCTTTAAAGAGAACTATGAAGAACTGAAATCCTCACATAGTATTTTATCAACAATACTTTTAATATTATTCTATAACTAAAAGCATGAAATGTGGCAAATAAAAGAAAATGCCCCTCTTACCTTATGATCTGTGAAGGTGTCCTGCTAAGATTCTTGTGCTCACTAGAGGGTTTCTGAGACGGTGACCCTGCAGAATGACTAGAAAATGCATGCTGTCTTACTCCCGAAGGGTGCTGAAGTCGAGGAGGTAGTGCTGATGGAGCTTTTACTGTCTTGCTTGAATTCTTTGGCCCTCTATAATCTGCATCTGTGACAAGAATCCAAAAATACCTCATAATTTCCTATGATCAACAATGCCATGTATCTTTACCCCTCCCCCCAAAAAAGAATAACTTGATGTGCTCTTACCAGAATGGAAATTTTGTCCAGAAGGGGTAGGTTTTTTCATCTTCTTCCCTGACACTGTGTTCCAGCTTTCTGAGGGAGGTGGTTTGAGGGTCTTCGGCGAGTGCCTTCAAAAGGAAGGAAAAGACATGTAATAATTTAAAATGCTTATAGTAACAATACCTACTTAAGTATTCAGCATAGCAATTTTATTTGTAACTTACATAAAAATTTCCAGCTTTAGTTCTTATATTAAAAATAAAGTACAAACAAAGCCATTTAGCAACCCAGATGTAATTCTAATAAACAAAAGATAACAAATCAAAAGCATGTTTTCAAACCCCAAAATACCAGAAGACAAAAAGGCCTTAAATCACAATCGAAGCAAAAGATTCGAGGAATGATTGCTATTTGTTAGATGTGATAATGGTACTGTCATTCAGGTGGGGAGAGGCAGGAGCCCTTACTGTGCTAGAGACACATAAAAGTACCTACATGTCTATGACAAATGGTATAACGTCTGAATTTTTTGAATTATTCCAATTCCATTTATAAAAAGGGTTAGGGAAAATAGATTAGGAAAGACTGCTAAATGCTGTTAACTGATGAACCAGGATGATGGTATATTAGAGTTCACTGCACTATGCTCCTGACATTTATGTATGATTGAAGTTTTCCATAGTAAAGTTTAGGTGTGACTTACTACCTTTATCTCTAATAAGGGCAGCAGCAACTAAAATAAAAGGTATTCTAAAGTAACATTGTAAATCTACCATAAAATTTTACTCCGTCTGACATTTATTTAAAATTAATTACATGCAATGCAGTACCAAATAATATTAGGAATGAATATGATCTCTGTCCTCCAAAGCTCCCACTTTATAGTTATAAAATAGTCAATTTCCCAAACTGCCTTTGTGAAGAATGGCACATTTTAAACAGTAACAGGCAAAATGAGTTTTCTTTTATATCATCATGCAAAAGACTGAATTTAAACTCTATTTTTCAAAAGCTCTGAACAAATATTTCTACACAAAGGCAACACCTTTAAGTGAATCTGAAAATGCACAAAGCCCTTTTGAAATGCTCGTGATTACATTAGGCAAGTTGAAAAGATAGTAAATGCCTTAGTTGAAGAGCAGTACATACTTCCTTCCAACTTCTTCAACCAAAACTGGTCCGTTCTCAGAATGAACCCCTTGAAGGTCTGCAGTAGAAAATTTTCCATTGTGATCCAAGCTAACCTGTTGAACAATTCCAGAAAGATCAGTCATCTGCTTCCTTGCATTAATGATCAGTTTTTAAAATTTATTGTTTCCAATTAAAGAGAAAATGAAATGTATATTGTTAAACACAAAACTAATTTCAAAACAGTATACAATAATATGTTTCTCTGTGTTTACCCTTCCAAAATTGTTCTAAATTACTATCCTAAATAGTTCAAGAAGTAGTAGCAACATCTATTAAGGCTCCTAACAAGAGAGGCATCTTGTCCTGGTCCTGAAGTCAGGACTGTGGCACAACACAACCAGGATTCCAGGCCTGGCATTTTTACTTACCGGCAATATGACCTTGGGCAAGTTACTTCTCATACTTCAGTGTCTTCATATGCAAAATAAGGCTAATAATAGTACCGAGGTCATAGGACTCATGGAGATGGAATGAGGTATGTATCATATACATGAAGGACGCGACAGTATTATTATAATTACTATGTGTAACTGTGACCTTTCTCCTCCCTAAAAATAGATCTGTTATCTGTTCTCTCCATGGTATTTTCCAAGAGTAAACTGTGATAGGAGAATAAGCCCTGAGGTGTTTCTATAATCAAACAATACACAATGAATAGGGGATCTGGCATGATTACACCAGGAGCACTAAGAGCCCACCCGTGTTGCATGGCTTTGAGTACCCTCGTACTTTTACTAGTAGACAAAGTCCTCTAACTGAGGTTTCATTCTTCACAAATCAAAATAGGACACTTCGCCTTCCTCTCTTTAACAATCAAAAATATTTTCCCGAAGTTTTTTATCAAAAGTTAAAACTGTATCTTATATGTTCACTTGAGTAAACAAGTCATCTTTGACTCCTAGCAGTTTACACAATAAAGTTTCAATTAAATTTTATCCAAGTTAAAGTAGTAGAATTAGAAACAAAATACTCTAAAATAGAAAAAATTAAAACAAGTATCTGCTTTATCATCTACCTTATTAATGGCATCTACCAAAGTAACTGCAACCTCAAAGAAGATATGCATGATTTGAAATGAGTAACAAAACTTTAGTGATGCAGCGTAAGATAAGCAATCTTCTCTTCTCTGTTGAGGGGTAGGGAAGAAGGGGAATACTAAGCCTTGGTTTTATTCTTCTCTTTTGTTCCCTTCAAAGATTTCACAATTCTGTTCTATAATTAGAGCATAATTCTGACAATCCCATAAGGAAGAATCTAAATGAATTACAACCTCTTCTTCCTTTCAAATACCCCAGAACCAGAACACTATGAAAAGTGCTCAAAAGTGTACAGATATAATCCTGGTCAATCAGATACTTTTCACAAACAACTTTATAACAAAGGAAATTAGTGTTTCCCCCACAAGTCAAGGAGAAATGTTTGTCAAGGGCTACTGTAAGGTAGTTTTGAAAAGGCAAACACTTTTTTCCTTTTAATCCTCACCTGAGGATATGTTTTTATTGATTTCAGAGGAAGAAAAGGGTGTCAGGGAAGGAGGGAGGGAGGGAGAGAGGAGGGAGGGAGGGAGGAAGGAAGAGAGGGAGGAACGGAGAGAGAGAGAAACATCAATGTGAGAGAGAAACACTGATTGTTGACTCCCATACATGCCCCGACTAGGGATCAAACCCACAACCTAGGTATGTGACCTGACTGGGAATCAAACCCCAAACCTTTTGGTGTACAGGATATCGCTTCAACCAACTGAGCCACCTGGCCAGGGCAAAAGGCAACACTTTTTGATGGAAGCCATTTTGATGAAAATTATCTTCCAATTAATTCTTGTGTACGTGGATTGCTTTTATTTTGGAAATAGTCCATTTTTATCATAAACAACAGAAAAGGGACCTTTGGAAATTACCTTTTCCAGAGTTTCTCTACACTTGGCATTTTTGACACTTTGGACCAGATAATTCTTTGCCATGGGAAGTGGGAAAGGGTGTCCCTGTACACTGTAGGATATTTGGTAATATCCCTGGCCTTTACCCACTAGATGTGAGTAGCATCTTCCCAGTTAGAAAACAAAAAAATGTCTGCAGACATTGCTCAGCAGGGAGTGGGGGGGGTGCAAAATCACTCCAAGTTAAGAAACACTGATGTGTCCTGGCCGGTGTTTCTCAGTGGTTAGAGTAGTTCTCAACCTTCCTAATGCCGCGACCCTTTAATACAGTTCCTCATGTTGTGGTGACCCCCAACCATAAAATTATTTTTGTTGCTACTTTATAACTATAATTTTGCTACTGTTATGAATCGTAATGTAAATATCTGATATGCAGGATGTATTTTCATTGTTACAAATTGAACATAATTAAAGCATAGTGATTAATCACAAAAACAATATGTAATTATATAGGTGTTTTCTGATAGTCTTAGGCGACCCCTGTGAAAGGGTTGTTCAACCCCCAAAGGGATCGCGACCCACAGGTTGAGAACCGCTGGGTTAGAGCATCGCCTTGCACACCAAAGGGTCTTGGATTCGATTCTCAGTCAAGGGCATGTACCTGGTTTGCAGGTTCGCTCCCCACCCCCAATCAGGGCACGTTCAGGAAGCAATCGATGTGTCTTTCTCACATTGATGTGTGTCTGTCTCTCCCTCTCTTTACCCCTCTTCCCTCCCTTCTACGTTCTCTCTAAAAAGCAAGGGAAAAAATACCCTCCGGCTAGGATTAAGCAAAAATAAACTGATCTAATCCAACTTTCCCCTTTAATAATCTGCTACTTAAATCCAGAGCACTAGTTTATTCAAAGTAAATGAAAATCTCCTCTTATTGTCAGTCCACTTTACTTTCTTAATTCAACCAAAATACATTATGTACCACCTGGCTGGCTTGGCTCAGTGGGAGCATCAACCTATGAACCAGGAGATCATGGTTTGATTCCTAGCAGGGTACATGCCTGGGTTTCAGGCTCAATCTCCCCAGATTGGGGCGTACAGGAGGCAGCCAATCAATGATTCTCTCTCATCATTGATGTTTCTCTCTCTCTACCTCTCCCTTCCTCTCTGAAATCAATAAAAAGATATATCTTTTTTTTTTAGAAAAACATTATGTACCTCTCAATTTTCCAGAATAACTCTTATAAGCAAAACAAACTGACCTATAATATCAAGCTTGAACCAATTATAAAATATTTGCCAACTGTAATGAAAATATCTAAAAACCTAAAATGTTACTGTAACTTCTTTGAAGCAAGCAATATCAAAAATTAGATTTTTTTTTAAGGTCATGTGACAGAATGCCATGGTTTTAGATACATACAATTTTGGTAATGTATTCAAATGAATCAAAATGCTAAATATTTAAAACCATGAAAATGTATACATGAAAAAATATATTCTAAAATTCCAAATTAACAATACATTCAAACTTATCTGTTTACTTGGTTCCTATTATAATAAGATGTCAGGTAAGATCTTTTCTTCTATATAATCACTTACTTGGCATTTATCCCCAACTTCATACTGTAAGCCAGCAGCAATGGAATAATCACGTTTCTGTTGAGCTGTAAATAATATCAGAATAATATCAAGTTGACTTAATTATTTTCAAGTGCCACAAAACAAATCTATGGAAAATGCAGATTTTTAAACTCACCTTGTTTAGACTTGAGCCAAATTTCATATTCCACATTTCTATAAACTGCTGGATTGAGTGACTTAAGAACCTTTCTAGACAAAGGAAGGCTTTGGGAGTTCCCACTGTTTTTCAGGTGCTAAACAAACAAAGTCAGGATTAAAAAAATAAAACATTTTTGTTTGACATATGTATAAGAATAAAATCAAAAGAAAACTTCAAAAATTACTAAGTTGCTGAAAAATGTACTAGTTAGATACGCCTGACTCTATTGAAAATGTACCAGGAAAGATTAAAAATATTAAGACTGCACTTTTATAAGCTCTTATATTGAAGAACAAGTTAAGACCTTTAGAAAAAAATACCTGATCACTTGACAGAGCTTTAAATCCATTTACATCATTAGCGGTGGTAGTTTTTCTCCTATAAAGGAAAAAACATAACCATAATTAGTACAAAATGTGTTCACATGCAATTAATTTATTCTAACTTCACATAAAAGTATCAGAAGTCAGAGTTATATTCCACAAAGTCAAAGCTATCTTCCAATGAGCCTTTACAAATTTTAATAAAGTGCACAAGTGGCACTGACCAGTTTGGCTCAGTGGACAGAACGTCGGCCTGTGGACTAAAACAGCGGTAACCAACCTTTCAGACCTCACAGACCCCCAGCGACCCCAGACCACTGGTTGGCGACTGCTGGACTAAAAGGGTCCTGGGTTTAATTCCAGTCAAGGACACGTATCTAACTTACAGGCTTGAGCCCTGGCCCTGGTGAGGGCGCATACTGAAGGCAACCTATCTATGTGTCTCTCTCACATGGATGTTTCTCTCTGTCTCTCCCCTTCCCCTTCCACTCTCTCTAAAATCAATGAAAAAATATCCTTGGGTGAGGATTAAAAAACATACAAAAAATAAAGTGTGCACGTGTGTGTGTGTGTGACTTATAAAATATAATTCAAAGACTTTTATCAGTAGTTCTTACTGGCTCAATAAAACAAACAGAAATAAACTGAAATTCAGGTAAGTAGTATAATTGGGTTTATAAAACATTCAATGTAGAAAATTTTCCTTTTAATACATAGATGATGATCCATTAAACAAAATATTCCACTACAAAAAGATGTACAGTCTAGTGATAATGAATGCAAACCATATTCAGTATGCTAATACTAATAAGTGCTATTGGGAATGTTAGGAAAAAATTATAGTGTTGAGCCATAGGCTCAAATAATAAAAAGTGGGATGAGGAAAGAACTTGTTGAGATGTCTTTTTGAATAAATAATTAAAGGTAACAAGATAGCAAACCATAAGTCTATTCAGTATTCCAGGCAAAAAAAACAGAAATCAAGTGCAAAGACCCTGGTGTGGACAAGGGCTGGCAAGGCTGGAACAGAGTGATAGCAAGTAGAATGAGAGATGAGGTGAGGAGCCACCTGTACTCTTCTGTCCTACACTCCTTCATAAATCAATTTCTAGTCTTTGGGACAATTTCCCAAGTCTGTACCCTTAAATGCAGCAATCTTTAACAGACTCCAAGTAGCCAGTGTCTAGATTTTTTAAAAGCACCCATAATTTCCAGTACTTCAGCACTGTGAATGCGAAAAGAATCCAGGCACAAGAGTATAACAACATCCCTAGTCTTTCCTCCTTGCTATCACACTATGCCTATCTATTGTGCCATGGTTATATAGCATTCTTCCCTACTTGAAGCCTTGTCTTCCCTAAGCCAGATATGACACAAGAAATCTGTAATAATGCAAAAAGTTAACGAGAAAGGCTCCAATGTTACAACAGTAAAAAGCAACAATAGTAAAGTATAAAAAGAAAAACAGCATTATAATGAACACACCTTCCCTGATTAACTTCCTCCTATGTTCAATGACATGTCTTAATCAGAGAGGTGCTGGAGAGGACCATGGAGTAAAATTTTTACCTGTGCAAAGTCAGTCCATTCTAGCATTAAACTTATAAAGGCAGACCCAGATTCTAACCTAACTGTTCATTTCTTTCTTATAAAGAAATGGCAGACTATTTTGCAATCCGGATCAGAAAAATTTAAGAAACGCCTTGAATTACAGATAAAAAGATAACTAAGTACTTAATAAGGAATTAGATATCAATTTTCATTTCTTTCTCTAGTTTCACAGTATGAAACACCAAGTAGGAGGCTTTCCTATTTAAGATACAACAGCAATAATAGTTTAACTTCATTAGGATTGGAATATGATTAGTTGCTCTAAAATATCCTATATAATAAAACCCTAATATGCAAATCAGCCGAATGGCAGAATGACCAGTCGCTTTGACACGCACTGACCACCAGAAGCCAGATGCTCAATGCAGGAGCTGCCCCTGCTCAGGGCCGATGAATGGGCGGCACCATGCCACCAGCCAAGGCAGGTGCCAGTGGGGACCCCCCGATCGCCCCACCCGCCAGTCAACCCACATATCGGCCCTGATCGCCAGACTGACCTAGGGACCCTACTCATCCACGAATTTTGTGCACTGGGTCTCTAGTATTCTTATTATTGATGAAAATATGTTGGACACTATATTTAGGAACTAGCTTATGCACTTTATGTGTTATCTCATTTAGTTATTATAAACTGGAGGCCCAATACACGAAATTTGTGCATAGGTAGGATCCCTAGGCCTGGTTGGTGATCAGGGTGACTGTGGGGCAAGTGGCAGGGCAATTAGGGGCCCCCGCTGGCACCCACCTTGGCTGACCTGTGGCCTGCACGCAGCTTCTGCATTAAGCATTTGCCCCCTGGTGGTCAGTGCACATCATAGCCACCGGTCATTCTGCCATTTGGTCTATTTGCATATTAGGCTTTTATTATATAGGAGGATTCTGCCCTTTGAGGAACTACTAATATATCTCATTTTACAGATGCAGAATTGAGGCTTCTTAGTGAATTTAAGTAATTTTCCCCAAATCTAGTAAGTTGGCAGGAAGCCAGTATTGAAACCAGGTTTGGAAGTATACAGCCCAAGCTCTTATCCACTAGTTTATACGTCCTGTGTGGGGGGAGAAAAAAAATATCATAGACTCAAAGTTAAAAAGTGCTTATTCACAACCTAAACAAAAGCATTATCCAGAGCTGTTCCCACACTATACCCTAATTTGGGATTTTTATTATCTAAAAAGAAAAAGAGGTGGCATTATTTAAGAAAACAATAAAAGAAAGTCAAGGAATCAAAATGGCCATTCTTTTAGCACTGAATACGCAAACAATTGACAGCTTAACCTTAAAATTTTATAATACCACAGATATAGGCAGACCAAATCTATTCCACATATACACATCCAGATTACATAGACTTAGATGCTTTCCAACCCAAAACAAGTTTTTAAGGTAAGAGTTCCTTAGTAGAAATGAGGTAAAATTAGTGGTAGAGATAAAGAACCTTCTACTGCAGATTGGTATATTTTAGGAATACCGTAATATTTCAATTTCAGGGAACTCCTTGCAGAATCATTTACTGAAATGTTTCTTTGTACGGCACTATAAAGATATCTTAAAATTTAAATTCATTCTTACCTGCAACTATCATCCTCTGAATCTGATATTTCACTGTGGCTTTCACCAGCTACTTCAGCAGTGTTGAGTCCCATCAAGATTTTACTAACATCAGTTTTAAATACCTTCTCATACAGTAATTCATAAAGGAGAGCTGCAATTAACAAGAGATATGTTATGCAACATTAACTAATTTTATGTTCAAACATAAAATTGAGTATCTACTGCCCAAGCTTCTAAAATCATAACTGGACACCTGCAACATCTATGATCAAATTTAATCAGAAAGTTGCCTACAGAGAGAGCAACCAGAATTTGTGTGTAATTAGTTTAAAATCATTACATGAGATAACTGTCATTTTTAAAAATATCAACACAAAAAGGTATCATAACTTTGAAACAAGTATGATGACAATAAAAGATAAACATGCATATTAAGCAATTATTACACTTCATGTGTTAAGCCTTTACATTATCTTCATATTTAATCCCAGCACAGTGGTATAATTATTCTAATTGTACAGATGAGGAAACTGAGAATTATAGATGGCATACAACATATCCAACCTTAAGAGACTTGGATAGAAAACATTAAGAAACATTAAGACTGCTTGCCCTAACCAGTTTGGCTCAGTGGATAGAGCATCGGCCCATGGACTAAAGAGTCCTGGGTTCAATTCCGGTCAAGGGCATGTACATACCTGGATTGCAGGCTCGATCCCCAGACCCAGCTGGGGAGCGGGGACCATGTGGAAGGCAACCAATTGATGTGTCTCTCTCACATCGATGTTTCTCTCTGTGTCTCCCCCTTCCTTCCACTCTCTCTAAAAATCAATGGAAAAATATCCTCAGGTGAGGATTAATAAACAAAACAACAAAAAATTTAAAAAAAAAAAGACTGGTAGGAAGAAGATAACTTTCCGTAAGGGACTAAAAAGAGACTGTTATAAAATGTATTCTCAGCCCAGCCAATATGGCTCAGGGATTGAGTATCAACCTATGAACGTATGACTGAACTACGGTTCAATTCCAAGTCAGGGCACATGCCTGGATTACGGGCTCGATTCCCAGTAGGAGGTGTGCAGGAGGCAGCTGATCAATGATTCTTTCTCATCACTGATGTTTCCATCTCTCTCTCCCTTTCTCTTCCTCTCTGAAATAAAAATATTTTAAATGTATTCTCAGCAGCCAATGAAGAAGCATATTTAGACAACGTTTTGCTTAAAAAAAACACACACACACACACAGAAAACATGTAAATATATATTACCAAATATTCTCAATTGGTTTTACTACAGTGATTCTTATGGAAACAAGAGTACACTAAGAATTCATCAACAATAAGTTTCCTAAGAGACTTCCTTCTAGCAAACCATCTTTCTTATACACCTTCTATCAGGGGTCCTCAAACTTTTTAAACAGGGGAGCAGTTCACTGTCCCTCAAACTGTTGGAGGGCCAGACTATAGTTTAAAAAAAAACTATGAACAAATTCCTATGCACACTGCACATATCTTATTTTGAAGTAAAAAAACAAAACAGGGACAAATACAATATTTGTATTTGCATGTGGCCCGCGGGCCGTAGTTTGAGGACCTCAGCCTTATATCATCCAACCCACAGGCACTGAGAAGTATAGGAAAGGAATCTCCATGAGCTATCCTTCCCAAAGCTGACATGTCCAGATTTCGACTAGCTGGGAAAAAAAGGACACAGTCCAGGATAGTCAGCTAGACTTTCATACCTCAAAACAGATCAATTAATTTTAAAAATTTACATTACATATTATCTTTACTGATCACCACTAGCTTAAGAACAGAGGACTCCTGGCCTGAGTGCTCAGTGGTTAGAACATCAACCTGCAGACAGAAGGATCTTGAGTTCGATTCCCAGTCAAGGGCACGTACCTGGGTTGCAGCTTCAATCCCAGGCCCAGGTCAGGGCTCATGAGGGAAGCAACCAATCAATGTTTTATTCACATCAATGTTTCTCTCTCTTTCGCTCTCTCCCTCCTTCCCTCTCACTCTCTCAACCTCCTGTGGGAATTTAAAAAAAAAAAACGAGGAAAAAGCTGTTGTATGCCCAGCACTACTGTTTTGTATGAGTGATGTGCATTTAGAACAGACAAAGGAAGGAACTAATAGAGCAGTAATTCTCAATTGGGAAGGAATTGTATCCTTCCAGGAAATATGTGGCAAATCTAGTGACATTTTTGGTTGTCACAATGGGAGATCTACACAGTAGAAGCTAGGTATACTATTAAATATCCCACCATGTACAGAACAGCCCCCACAACAAGAATTACATGGCCCAAAATGTCAATAGTGTCAAGGTTGAGAAACCCTGCTCTAGGGCCAAATATAATCAAATGTTTGATTTGCTCGGTCATGTAAATTTTCAAACCATACACTACCCAGCTTTGAAAACACATACACATCCTTATTATTGAACTTAATTACTGCAGGAAATAAATAACTTCGTATTTATAAGTCAAACTCTAGCTACTAGATCTTTTTTCCTATTAAAAGAAGTTTTTAATACAATATTAATATTTTTGGTAACCTAAGGTTTTTAGAAATATCTTTTTATACAACAAAACAGAGTATATTTGCCCTGACTTGTGTGCATTAAGACTGTATATCTTAGGAATATAATTTCCTATACAAACACAAGGGTGAAACTTACACTGACACATAGCAGAGCTCTCTTTATACTTAATGGGATAGACAATATCATAATGATTTCCATTTGAAAAACACAGTAATACCTGAAAGGGAAAAATAAAAGACACCTTTCAGCACTTCATATTTGGTATTTACATAGCAACTTATTATCTCCAATATCTCTCAATCACTAGTAAGTAATTTTCAAACAGAAAGTGAATATTTTAGAAGCAATTTAAAGCTCCAATGTAGTCAACTATGGTAAATTCACATGCAGAAATGTTATACAGCTATTAAATCAAAAAGTTCTTAATGACTTGGGGAATGCTTATGGGATAAAATATAAATACATTGCCCTAGGTTTGGCTCAGTGGATAGAGCGTTGACCTGCAGACTGAAGGGTCCCAGGTTCGACTCTAGTCAAGGGCACATGCCCAGGTTGTGAGTTTGATCCCCACAGGGGGCATGCAGGAGGCAGCCAATCAATGATTCTGTCTCATCATTGATGTTTCTATCTCTCTCTCCCTTTTCCCTTACTATCTGAAGTCAATAAAAATACATATATATTAAAAAAAAAACCAGCATGATTTCAGCTACTTAAAGAACAAGATATAAGAGACCGTAAGAAAACATTCCAAAATTTTATTAATACTTACCTCTAAGAGGCAGAATCAAAAGTAAAATTTTTCTGCTTCTTTACAGTTAAAGTACAGTTAATCCTTGAACAATGTGGGGGTTAGAGGTGCCAACTCCTATGCAGTCGAAAATCCAAATATAACTTTTGAATCCCCCAAAACTTATATTTGGTCTTCCCTAGGTATCTGCAGGGTACTGGTTCCAGGACACACAAACCACCATGCCATAATTCACAAATAGTCAAGTCCCTTATACCACATGGTGTAGAACAGCAGTTCTCAACCTGTGGGTCACGACCCCTTTGGGGGTCGAACAACCCTTTCACAAGGGTCGCCTAAGACCATCGGAAAACACATATATAATTACATATTTTTTGTGATTAATCACTATGCTTTAATTATGTTCAATTTGTAACAATGAAATTGGGGGTCACCACAACATGAGGAACTGTATTAAAGGGTCGCGGCATTAGGAAGGTTGAGAATCACTGGTGTAGAACAATGCATACAATTGGCCTTCCCCATCTGCAGATTCCCAACGTCTAACCTCAAATTAGAAAATACTGTTCTCAATCTGTTGATTGAATCCAGACACCTTGGGATGCAGAAGACAGACTATATTCATTGAAAAAAATCCACATATAAGTGAACTCAGGTAGTTCAAACTCATGTTGGTAAAAAAATCAACTGTACTTTCTAAATAGTTAACTACTTATTCAAAGAGAAATGCACACTGATTTTATTTAGATTATGTCATATTCCAATAAGTGTACTGGAAAAGGCCAGATCCAGAGAGAAGCATGTTAGGAACCCCTAAGTCCTTATTAAGGTAGTATTTCACTCAATTTCCCTCCTCCTTACCACCATTAGTTTGGTGACAGATACTTCAACTGGCCTGGATGTCTCCAGAGCAAGTAATTAAAACAAAGTTTTCTTATAATGAAGCAGCTGGGATTTTTTCCCTTCTAGACTACATATTTTTCCAGTTGTGTCTGCTTTGAACAGATAATAACTAACACCTCAGCCAGCAAATTATCTTTATAATAGGAAATATATCACGATTACTAAAGTACCTCTGGATGCAATGGAAGAACCTATTTTTACAAGTTATTTTACTAGTTAATATTTATATTGACACAAAAGAGTAATAGTCTAGTTAATCATATACACTAGTATCTCAACTTATTTTCCTCTAGTGATAGGGTTCAAGATGGTGAATTGTCGGGAAAAACTAATACAAAAAATTACAGCTCAATGATGATTAACAGGAACTACACTGTATCAACTCAGTATCAGCCTTCACGCACAAATATTTCCAAAAACCACTTTAAAATAGCTTAGGAGGTCAAGGTGGCATCTGAGTAGTTCTTTCACTTAAAGTTTTTAAAAACACTGAAAAAATTCTTACCTTTTCAGGAAAATTATTTTCAGTTACTTGTGAAGGAGAAACATTTGGTTCCCGATAAATTACAAAATCTTTCCTGAAAATAACATTTTTAGAAATTACTTCTGATGGAATATATCCTGTAAATTGAGATATATCATTCATTCATTCAAAAGCCTAATTTATGTAAAGTAATGATTTGTTTAGGCACTGAAGATATAGCAGTAAATATAAGATAGTAATGGAATACTAAGTTGTAAAATCCTATCTAATCTAATAATAGACAAACATGGTAATTGACCATACCTCTGCTACGCTTCCCATTGGCTAATCAGCAGGATATGCAAATTAACTGCCAACAAAGATGGCGGCCAGCAGCCACGCAGCTGAAGCGAGCAGAGGCTTGCTTGCTCCAGTGATGGCAGAAGCCAAGGTTCCCCGCCTGCCGCAGCCCGGCTCTGAGCTCCTGAAGCAACAGCTCCAAAAGCAACAATGTTTCAATTATAGAAGCTAAACAAACCCCAGATACCCGCTTTCAGCCAGCCCCGGCCTCAGAGCTGGAGCGGGCTCTCAGCTCCAGTGACAGCTATAGAAGGTAAATAAATCCCAGAATAAAAATAGAAAGGAAAAAAGGAGAGGCTGGGAGCTTGTTGCCCGCCAGCCTGAAAACAGCCATCAGCCCCTCATCCAGGCTGACCAGGCACCCCAGTGGGGATCCCCCCACCCCCCGGTGCTGAATGGGATGTGACCAG